TGTAACATGCCCGGGGGGTACCCGCGCGCGTTAAACAGTTCGGACCCCCGAGATCTCTTCGATCTATTCTCACGAGTGCAATGTGAAACATAGATGAGAGTCCAGTTTTGGCAACTTTTATTGAAAATCCATTTTATTACAATTTTGTCAAAAATGGACTGCGTCATCAGATCTCAGAGTCGCCACCTAATATTTATTTTGGGAAAATTAGGAAACCCATGACTCGTGCCAAGGCCACTGTTCGTCGTAACCAAGGATGCTTGGCTCGGAACCTTAGGTATGAGAGGGGAAGGTCAATAATGAGCACCCCCGCCCACCCGATCAAAGATCGGCCTTTACTAACCACGATATGAATTTTATTTTATTTATATGTTCATGTTCTGATTAGTTAATAAATCCTAAAATTTACTATGTGAAGCATACAAGTATAGACTATGCCATTCATTTTGGAACAATTTGATATCATGCATTTTGAAAGAGTTTTGACGATGTACAACCCAAATAAATTGAGTTTACAAGCATGAAAAATCAACATCATTCCAAATTAAGCGACACAACATCCATCCACTGGCATTCATAGAGTTATATCACATAAGCAACTAGCCTCATGGTAGAATGCTAGACATAGTAAGAAAAACACACACACACGGGATGCTAAAGCATAAAAACTCACATGTTTGACGTCCCACGAACAAGCTGCAAAACAAAGTTAGTAAAATATGCATGATCTTATATACAAAACCCTAATGCAATTCACTCATGAGATGCAACTAAAGATTCGGCTTCTAAAATATGATATGTGAATCATCTCAAGAACATGAGGTAGCGCACATAATCACATAGGAATTGATTAAATCCACAAATGCAAACTTAGCCGAATCAAGATGCATGAAACATGGATGCAAAGCATAACTATGATGAAAAATAAATATGATGTTTATGTACAAATAAAGAAAGCAAGTAAAAGAACGGGATAGAAAGAAGCGGGGCGGGGAATTATTACAACGCTCTGAATAAATTATTACAAACCAGATAAGAGAGAGAGAAAGGAATATTACAACAAAATAAAAACCTCACAATACACTCAAAATAAAAGCTTCATGTTCTTTAGAACCGCCGGCGGAAATTGGTCAATATTGGGAGATTACGCCATCTTGTTCGGAAGAAGCTAACCGACCGGCCAAATAGGCCGGCCGACCAACTAGGCCAAGCAAAACCTGTCTTGTTGCAAAACCAAGAAAAGGAACAAACAAAAAAAAAATATGTAGGTGGCTCAACTAACCACTACAGGTTAGATTAAAAAAAATAAAACAAATATAAGATAGAACATGCAAAATTACAACAAAACTAATATGAAATTAAAGTATGCGAATAAAAATAAATAAATAAATAATTATGAGCGAAACAAACCACTAGGATTATAACAACACACTATGAAATATAAAGTAAGAAAATAAATATGAGATAAACAAACTACTTGGATTATAACAAAACACAATGAAATAAGAAGCAAGAATATAAATATAAAATATAAGAAAATGAAAGATTAAAAATTCACCTTCCAAAGAAAGATTGAACTTCTTGATTTCCAAACTTCCTCTTGATCACCCTCAAGTGTAGGAAGTGTGTTCTCAAATCCTCAATTCGAAATTATGGAGTTTATGGAGTTTGTGGTATGGAAAGTGGCTAACTCTCAAGTTTTTCTCACTTTCAATCACTAAACATTCTTCCTTATGATCGAGGCGATTGATCTTTGGCTATATCAGAATTTTTGGAGTGATTTTGGTGTATGGAAATGAGGAATTTCAGTAGCTATGGAAGGTATGGGGTGTATATGGAAGATAGAAATATTTTTGGCTAAACAACTCAAATTTTCTCTCTTTTTTCACTCTTTTCTCACTCCTTTCTCTTCAATTTCGTGGTCCTCCTCCTCTCTTACAATATGATCATTCTATATAGGCAATGAGGGAGAGTAAAGGTCAAAAAGAAGGTGGGAGACAAGAATGTGATAGGAGGGCAAATTTTCAAGGTGGTTGCATGGGATACTCCTTTATGGATGCAAACAAAATATCTTTTTGACTATGGAGGATGATTAGGTATAATGGAGGATGAGTGTATGCACTTGAATGGCTCAAAAAATAGGTAAATGGGTTGCCCCAACCGAACCAAAACCAAGAAAAATGGGCTATTGTTGTTTTGGGTCGAATCAACAAAATCTGCTTTTAAGCCCAACTTCAAATGGACATATCTCCGCCATATGGACTTGGTTTTAGGCAGTTTTTTGGTCCAAATTGAAGCCCCAGAAGTATTCTTTCCAATGGTGGTGGCCTCACATTTAAATTCCAAGTGCACAAAGAGATATGCCTAATTTAGTAAAGGTTGCTCATTTCCTTCTTAATGATTTGATACTCATCCTTTTCCTAAACCAGCTTTCTTTCATCCCCTCCTATTTCCTTCAACTCCAAACCTATAAAGAAGATATTTTTAAATATTTTTCAAAAATTTCACCTCCCTTCCATTTATTTCCAGTTTGTCCTTTTTACTGAAAAGTGCAATATTTTAATCGAAATGGGAGCCTCGGGACATCGTAGAAACATTTAAAAAAAACATATTTTGAAAAGAGGGTTTTAAGGTCTAAAATAGTTTGGCCAAAAAATGGGTGAAGGTTGGGATTAAAACTTAAATTCCATCTTTCTTACTGAGAATTTTGTGAGAAACACATTCTAATTGTCATCATCGGGTAATCAAAAGAAAGCGCCCAAGTCTTAGGGCCGGTCAAAAATGGGGTGTCTACAGCGATGAATCTGTTGAATGAATCTGTTGATGAATAATGTGTATAACAGGTTGAAGGTGAAAGACCTTGAATGAACTTGTTGAATGAATAAGTAATATTTCAAGAAATCTGTTGGTTTGAATGAGAAACGTACACACAGGTTTCTAGTTTGGTAACACACACACAGTTTTCTGAAATTCACTCGTGAATGGTCCATGCTCAACATGTTTCTATTTTTAAATAAGAAGCATTGAAGGACCTTGAGTATGAATGGTCCATATTCAACTACATTATGACAGTTCTTGGAAAGAGCTTGTAACACAGTAAGATGGGACATGTAAGTCAACCTATAATTCGAATGAAGAAAAATGGGACATTCAAGTCAAATAAATGAGACATTCAAGTCAACAAAAAAAATAGGTCCTTCAATTCACTCAACAAATTCCACCAAGCATTGTGTTCAACCTGTAATTCAATTGAAACAAAAATGGAACAGCCACCAATTCCATCAATTTTCAAATGAAGCCAAACAATCCGAAGTTTACAAATGAAATTCATGTACAATTAACACTTCGAAACTAAAAAAAAAATGGGACATTTGGATCCCCATCGATATTCAAGTCAACAAAATTTGATAGTACTATCGAACTTTGACTGCTAATATTGTTGACCATTCCAGTTTGAGTATAAGATGTGCTTCCAATGTCATCCCCAACTGTGCTAACTGGTGCCTATAAAAATAAAGTAAATATTACAAAAAAAATTCCACGAACATATTCACCAATATTAAGCGACAACAAACAAAGTGTAATATATTAAATCCGTTCAACACATACCGATACATACATACTGCCTTCTATGGCATCCATAGAAAGACAATAGTAAGGTTGATTTGGTGGCACCTAATGATGAAATAGTGACACAAGTTAATTAGTAATTTGAAGCAATAAAATTAAAAGCCAAAAAAAAAAAACACGAAACAACCTTCATATTTAACACGTACCGGTTCATACATAGTGTCTTTCACGCCTCCCCTACAAGGAAAGCTTAACTTACGAGGTTCACCGTGACGCACCTTCTGACCCTATAGCACCAAACATTGATGAATATTTGAAGTTTAACAAATTCTGCAATATACTTATGTAGTGCGGAATGAAAAATGTACCTGCACCGAATTAGCCTTCTTATTCTTTCCCTTCAACCGATTCACTATTGTATCAACCTTGCTAACCTTCCGTTTCGTACATGGATGGCCTCTTCGGCGAGCAACCAAAGGACTTAGTACCTTGCGAGTCATGCTTTCTTTTGTAGTATTGATACGAGGCGGACTTTTTGGTGAAGTATGGGAAGGTGGTAAAGTACTACTTGAAGATGGTAAAGTACTAGTACATGGCACATCACTCGCACTACTTGATCGAACTGTTCTCACTTCATCCTTGATTTTCATCAACCCAAGTTGAATCACTTTGTGTTTACCATCATCATTAGTAGCAAGTTCTAGGATCTCATCCAACGTGTTGTGATAATTATCATGCAACTTTGGATGTAAAGAAGAGTCAAAGTTAATATATGTGGTTGGAATGCATGTGTAGCCTCTCTCCAAGTCTTTTCTCCATCTCGAAACAATGTATTTATTTCGCACCTCATATATGGATCTCTTACTTAGCACACAAAGTGAATGGGCACACATAATACCTCTAAAGTTAAACAACCGACACATACATTGGAGCTCACATTTAGTTGAATTAAAGTACACAACAAATTCCACTTTCTTCATCCTCTCACCCACAACAATAGCCTCCCTCACATGATAGGTACAAATTGCTCCCTCCTCTTTGATAAGATTTGCACGACAATACACTAGACGCTTCATTTCTAATTGAACTTCTTTAAATTTGGAATTAGTGTAAGCTGCACGAAATTGTTTCTCAAAACGATACACCGTTAAGCAATCATACAATTTGTTACGAGACTTAAAATCTGTTTTTGTCTCTTTCTTTACCTTACTTCTCAACGCATTGTCATACTGCTTAACAAATTGCTTTAAGGTTGTCTTGGAGTTCACATATCCGTCAAAGAATGCATTCATACTCTCACTTCGTTGTGTAGTTGACATGCCAGTCCAAAATATGTCTTTAACATAGGCAAGAATCCACCTATGTCGCTCACAATATAATACCCCCAACCACTCGTTATCATTCAAATTGAAATTTTCAATCATTGCTTCCTAGTATTCCTCAAATTCATCTTTTGTGAATGAATCATAAACTGCGTTACTCAAAGCAACCTTTATGGACTCATATTGGGAATATCCTCTCAATTTCTCTGGAATTTTCTTCATAATATGCCGTAAACACAAACGATGCCGAGCCTGTGGGAAGACAATTTCTATGGCATTTTGCATAGCTTTACACTGGTCAGTTATTATCGCTTTTGGGAGAGCATCTGACATGCAACTTAACCATTCTTTGAATAGCTAAACAAATGTCTCTGTGTTCTCATTACTTAACAACCCACAACCAAACAAAATTGACTGTCCATGGTGATTCACTCCTACAAACGGAGCAAACGGCATATCATATTTGTTTGTCAAATAGGTTATGTCAAAAGAGACAACATCCCTAAATGCTTTATAAGCTGCCTTACTCCTTGCATCCCCTCAAAACAAGTTTCGTATGTGACCATCTTCATCAAGGTCAATTGTTGAATAGAAGTTCAAATTTTGTTGTTGCATTTTATGAAAATAAAATGTAACTGATTCGGCGTCTCCTACCCCAAGTCTGAATCTTCTAGCATTCTGAATATAATTCCTAGCATCTTGCTCATCAAACGTTAATGCCTCATATCCCCCCGCTTCGACAACTATGGAATGAAAATTCCTAGCCACCCCAATCTCTGCTGCATCGTTAACTTCTAGTCTCCTCTTCACCGAAGTAAGAATCCTCTTATTCATTGGAAAATGCCGTGAGTCAGTCGGAATCAAATCATGAGTGTGCTTAAGCACAACCGTAGTTAACTTATATCTTCCATCTTTTTGTAGAGTGGCTCTAACCCTTGCTTTACAATCTATTTTTGACGACAAAGATGGTTCGAGGGGATTTACTTCCGATCTTTTTGTTCTATTCCGCGCCCGAGTACATTCAATTCCAAAGTACTTTACTTCCCCATCCCTTGTTACATTTTGTGTTCTATAAGCTATAGCAAATCCAAGTTGTTTCGCATATTTTGCATAAAATGTGTACACTTCTTGCTTTGAGATAAAATACATCCCCTTCTTCGGTTCTTCAACTTCACCACTCTCATTAAATTCAACATTGTTGTCTTGTTTTTCAACTTCCTCACTCACATTGACTGAATTATTCATTGAATCAATATCCATTGTAGCTTCAAAGTGAAATAGAATAGAATAGACATTAAAAGAGCACAAACTATCATAGGCAGCATGAAAAAAAAACGTAGGAGATTATCAGAACACAAGGAACAAGCAGAAGCTAGTAACATTTATGTTATAAAAGCAAGAGAATCCACTTACTGGAATTGAAACTATAAGTGGGTATAGATTCTTCTCAGCAAAGTAAGTGACTGGATATGGAGTGCCCTTCAATGGAATTTGATTATAGAAAACGTAAAGCAAGGGTAAAATTTACATGATGTAGAAACCAACAGGAAAAATCAATGAGCAGTGCAATTCCCTAACTGTGAGGTAACATGTATAAGACCATGATTACAACACACGTTGTGAATGACAGTGAAGGCAACAATAGGTCCATTACATAGCTGTAAATGAAGATACACACTTTAGTTTATATATCATTATTACAAAATTAATCCAACAAATCCAAGTTCCTTGAAAATATTTGAAACTACTGTTTTGAATTTGATCAAGGATATTTCTTTCCATGAGGCAAACCATAGACAATGGATATGTACTACCAACCCCATGTAGTTAGCATTGGGGCTTGTTCATTTGCATAAAGAATTATGAAAGAAACATTTCTCAGAGAACATTGAATTAAGGAACATTTCATAAATCCATGATTATCATAAATGTTCACACATAGAACATTGAATTATTCATTGAATTAATTTTCAAATTATTTAACATAGGAACATTTCATCAATTTTTCAAAGAACATTGAACTAAGGAACATTGAATCAATGAGTTGTGAGATTTTAAAAACATAGGGTCGAAATTAATCATGGATTTTTCACAAAACAGCAATGTCTGAATTTTTCACATAACATTTTTCATGGATTAATTTTTCACAAAACATTTTTGCAGAGTTCAATGTGAAACCCTAAATTAAAAACAAAACCAACTAATGGGTCAAGGACCATGAATCATAAGCAGCCTCAATCATAAGCAACATAAAATTATCATAAGAAGCATGAATCAAGGAGCAGCGGCGACACCTTTCGGCACACACAGCAGTAGTGGCGTCCTCTCTCTCACTATGGCCAACCAGCAGCGACGTCCTTTCAAGAAATGTGTATAACACTAGTCTTGATGCCTTCCTCTTCGGTTTGAGTATATGGCCAACCTGTTGAATGAGCCTCGTCGGCGTCCTCTCTCTCACTCTCTCTACTCTGTTCTTGTTTTTCTTTTTTTTTTTGGAAATGAAATGTCAATTTTGTATTGTAAGGGATGACCTGTGTACAAAGAATGAGGGTGTGTGTACAAAGAAATTCAGGCCTTTTGACCCACGCCATTTCGAGCTACAAAATGGAGTTGTTTATTCTTTATGCCACCACTTCTAGTATATATATATAAATAAGGGCATTCGGTTCAAAAAGTCTAAATTCAAAATTTTATTGACCAAAAATTCAGGTGCGAAATTAGTAGGTCTATAAGGACATACTTTTTCACAATGACCCTTATATATATTAATCATTTTCACAGAGCAATAGAAAAAGAATCATTTCACGCGGAGAGAGAGACAAAGGCCCGTTTGATGTAGCTATTAAAATAGCTTATAGATTATAGCTTAACAGATTATAGATTATGACTTTAATTAGAAATTGTTAATCTGTTTGGTGTAACTGTTGGATTATAGATTTAAGTTGCTGAGTAGTGTTTGTTAAATAAGCTGTGAAATAGCTTTTTCAATTATTTTTTATTTTTTATTTTTTATTTGTCTACATTTCTCATAAAAAATAATAATAATAATCTATAGTCTATTTGAGTCTTTTTCTATTTTTAAAAAAAATAATAATAAAAAAATTTAACATGTCTACGGCGGAAGCTGATAATCAGAAGCAAGGGGTGAGCAGCTTCTCAGAATCAGCTTTTTTGAGTTAAAATAAGCTGTTAGAATCCGAAGCTGTTTGAAATAAGTTTAACCAAACAGTCCAAAATAACTTTTTCAAAGCTAAAAGTCATAAGTTGGCTCTGAAAAGCTGAAACAAACACCCTAAAGGTAGACGTAGACGTGCGAGAGAGTCTCAAAACCCTAGATCGATCAGTCGTCGTCGCACGCACCTTCATCGCCATTGATATCGACAACGCCCTTTGCCGCTCCGACTCCAACTCCTTCGTCGTGGGCTCAGTCGTTCTTTGCCGCTCGCCATCGTCTAAAAGCTAAGAGCTGCAAACAGATCGTCCCCATAGTGGCCCGTCACACTAGAGCTTCTCAACTCCATCGCCGATCGAGCTCTAGATCGCCGTCAAACTCTCTCGATTTCAGATCCAAAACCACCGTAGCCTTTGCGCGGAGCTCCTTCGGTTCCAGATCCAGATCAGGTTCTGGATCGCCGTAGCTTTCGCGTAGAGCTCCTTCTTCAACCTTTTTAGGTGCTCTTTTCCTATATATATATATGTATCGTTATTGTTAAGGTTAGATTGTCCTGAAGCTCCTTCGCCTTTTGCCTCTAAAACTCCATGTAATCACATTCTAATCCTCCTCCACCACCATCGTAGGCTTCACCAGCGTATTTGCTGGTGATTGCGAAGAAGGAGATGCAGGGACAAATTAGATTGTTGTTGCTGACAATTTGTTGTTTGTTGAACATATAGAATTTTTGAAGAGATAAATTTCAATAGATATAGAATTTTGGATGATGATGGTGGGTTGGATTGTTGCTGAAAATTTGTTGTTTGTTGAACAAATTTGTTCAAAAAATTGAACAAATAATTAAAAAATCATAGAATTTCAACAGATAATTTGAACATATAGAATTTCTGAAGAGATAAATTTCAATAGATAGCTTTTATTTGCACATATTATGTATGTATATATACCATGTATGTATGTATGTACTTGAGAGTGTATATTTGCACATATATGATGTTGTATTGGTCAATTCACCATGTTAAAGATGATCAGGCAAAATTATGGTTTCATAATTGTCTTGATTGATTCGAGGAAATTGAGCTTGCTTGAGTTATCTAATTTGATTCACTATTTCTTGAGTTTGTTTTTCTGTATATGGAAGCTATAATTCATTAGTTTCTTTATTTTAATTTTTTTTTTTTTCTGCCAGAGTATTGAAGTTTCAGTATGTTTTTGGAACTTGGGCTGTGAGTGTTAGGGCTTGAAGGAATACATGTGATTGTGAGATTGTTAAGGGAAGTGAAGCTTTGATTGGGAGGAGTTGGCTAAGAAAGATGTATCGGCTTGTGGCTGCCACTACTAAGGGTGGATTACCAACCGATAGTGGGGATTATGTGGTGGCACTCGACCAAGTTCCATGTTGCAGTGATGCTAAATAAAAGCTACAAATAGAAACTTGTTTTATATGTTGTTTTTGTTTTCAAAAAAGTAAAATTGATTTCAAAATTTTAAAATTTTCTGAAAAATGATGGGTGTGTTTGGTTTGTGTTTGTAGAGTAGTTTTTGAGATAAAAAGTACGAAAACTTGTTTGGTTTGTCATTTTTCAGAAATTGTTTTGAAAAATTGTTTTGGGAGAGAGAGTTTTAAAAAAAAATGATTGATTTGATGTGCATGAGAGAGAGAGTGATTTTGAAAAGTAGGTAACTAAACAAAATTTTGAAATTTTTTTTGGAAAAATTTGTTTGATTTGATTACTCTTGAAAATTTATTTGTAAAGAATTTTTTTCAAAATTTTTTATGAAAAACAAACCAAACAAAACCGATATTTTCATATATTTTCAAAATGAGTTTTCATTATCTCCTCCATTCCTCACCATCACTAAGGACCTTGGGCACTACCAGTTAAAAAAGGTATTTCAAAATGAGCATATAAAATTACTAAATTAAAGTGTTTTTAAAAAAAATTTAGAGGCCCAAGACCAAAACTTTGTTTTGGAACCTATACACCTTAAAAATAGAGAAGAAATTACAAAATGAAGCACACCCAGGCACCAACAGCTGGACCAATTGATGGACAAATACAAAATTTGCTCAGATAGAAAATTTGGACATATAAAAAATTTATATAGAAAAAAATTAGACAGATAGAAAATAATTTGAATACATATATGAAAATTTTGAACAGATAGAAACTAATTTGAACAGATAGTAAAAAAAAATAACAAATAAAAAAAGTCAACATATAAATTAAGAGGTAAAATTAAAAATAAAATGTCCTTCAAAACAACTAAAAAGGTCTCTCGCTAAATTATTTTACAAATAGTGCACTTCTCACTAATGAAAAAAGTACACTAGATTTAATGCTTTAGACACCTTCTAAATTAAATTTATCACTAATATTCTCTGTATACAGTTAGGATATATTTCTGAATTTATACCCAAGTTTTAGATAAATATTTAAACAACAATGCTAGGTAGCTCAAAATTTTGTGGCTCAAATGGCTCAAATCACTTAAAACGACGTCGTTTTGACAGATTTTGAGTGTAAAACAACGTCGTTTAGACAGATTTAAGCCATTTGAGCCACAAAATTTTGAGCTACCAAACATTTTCCATATTTAAATATCTTAAGATTTAAATTTAAAAATATTCAACGGTTAAATACGCACATATTATTCCGCTACTCATAGTGGATTTTATTATTATCTACTTTTTAGATCATTATTATAGAATAAACAAATAAGAATATAGCATTGTTTTTCAGGACTAAAAATTAAATTCAATTTTCAAGGCTATTGATGTAACAATCAATTAAGATATTAAAAATAGGCCTCGTTTGGGAAGTGGCTATTTTAGTAGGCTAGTTGGTTTTTTGGCTATTTTAATAGGTTATTTTAGTTTTGTGTTTAGGAAGATGTGATGAATTTTTAGTTAAGTTCTTGCATTGAAAAGTGTGTTGAAATAATGTTTAAACTTAAAATGAAAATTTTGTCCCTAACTTTTTATTTTTTAAATTGATATAAAGGGGCAAAATGGTAATTTTGCCGTTGATGTACCAATTTCCGACTGTGACAGTGTAGCCTACACTGTCCAGCGCAGAGCCTTTTT